CCAGCAAAATTCATAAGAAAAATATTATGTTAAAGGCCACTGCCAAACATAAAGGTAGATGACATTAACACCAGAAAATAAGGACAGCTGTCCATATATATATTTCAGAGACACAGAGAACTGAATGAAATGAAAATGGTGTGAAGAAAGTACCTGGTGGCCAAAACAAATGCCTAGAACCTTCTTCTTCATTGCATCCAATTTCTTCAGCAAAGCTACGAGTTTGGAGATCCATAAATCGTTTCCATGGGCGTCACTGCAACTACCGGTGATCACGAATCCATCGTACTCTCCGATCTCGTTATCTTCCGGAAATTCTTCCTTCGCAACCTTATACACGTCCCATGTTTCACCTTCTTCTCCCAGCATTCGCACGAAAATCCCAAAATAACCTCCGTAAAGTTTCTTCACGTAATCTGAATCATCTGCACAATGAAGAACAGCAAACTTTTTGCTACCCATTCTCTCTCTATATCTATATGTGCGTTTGTATATTCCTAGAGGGAAAGGGAGAGGAGCTGTTCTTCTTTGAGATGTTCTTTGGGCTTGAGAGATGGAATATTTATAAAGCAAACTGACGGAGGTTATGGAATGTTGTTTTTTATTACGAATTTGCCACTTTGACAAAATAGAAAAAAATATATATTTTAAATTAGTTCTCATATTCCCTTTCTGTAGTTTTTCCATTTATGTTTAAATATATTTGAATTTTTTCTATTGTACGATCAAAGAATCTTTTGACTGCAAATCTGCAATACTAAGTCCTTCTTAGGGTTTTTATTTTCAATTAAGCTACCATCCATCTAGAATTATTCATTTTTAACTATACATTCATAAAAAAAATCACTTTTTCAAAAAATCTTAATCGAACAAGGGCTAACACTTAAACTGCTAGCGTACCATGATAAATATAGAAACAAAAATCGTTGCAAATTCGGCTAAAATAGTTATGGTATTTCCAGTGGTAAATTTGTCTCCAAATTTGGTAAATATCTTCAAATTTTAATCTAAAATGTTCAATTGAAGTTTCTTTAATATAATTCTTCGACTTACTTTAGAATCACAAAATACTTTCATCGAATTTGACTTACAATAGTTAATAATGTGATTATTGGAACATTGGAAGCTCATAAAGGTGATTAAAAAATGTGTC